AGGTTGCAGCTTACTCGACGGGAACCAGCTATATTTTTAAGTTTGACGAGACCGAAATCCCTGCAAGAGGTGACAAGCGCAAGAGCCGCGAGCTGCTGGAGTCATGGTTCTCAAGCCCCCAGTCTATCGACAAGCGCAATGATTTGGCGTTCCCATACTGCGTACTGGGACATTGTCTGGGAATAATAATCAGTCACGTGGGAAGGGCCCGGTGCAGCAACAACTCTGACGGCAGCGGGCATAATTGTCACGCACGTATCAGGCCCGCATCCGACGCTGACAAGGCAATTGTGGCAATTTGTGAATCGAATGCGAAGTGTCGACCCAGTACCACATCAACTATGACCCAAGCAATGGCTACAGAAGTGAACAATTATCACACACACACACACACACACACACACACGCACGAGGATGACCACTATGAACTATAAATACCGTGCAACCTGTGCATGTTTTAACCCTATCTGCGCATGTCTATGACTATGCTATCATCATCTATCATGAAGGATTTCCGAAGGAATCCGAAACGTCAGGAGAACAACATTTTATGTTCCAGTGATCCCTTCCTCTTCTTCTGAGTTCACCCATAATTGCAACTTCTTCATTTGCTTTATTCGGCATTTCATGAAGAATGTTATAAGAAAGTACGGAATAGCACCGAGCGCTACGTATTGCTTGTGTCCCCTGTTTCCTTTACAGCGTTAGATACAACGGAAATGCAGAAGGTTAAATCAGACCTGCCTCAATAACGGGTGTGAATTTCATGTAAACCATTGGATTTTGGGTAATTTATTAAACTTTCTTTTAGTGTCAGAGAATGGAGCCATTTGTACTGACAACTTTGAACATTTGCCTTCAAAATAAAGCGTATTTCTCACTCTTGCTCTATTTAATCGAGGCCAAATGTTTTACAGGCATGATCTAGATTTGAACGAATAAACGTCGACCTGACCTTCCTCTGTTGCATGCTTTTTATCGTTTTTTAACGTGAGTCCAAACGTGCTACATTGTTTGTCTACTTAATCCAGTAATCTTCTTAAAACGATCACGAGAGAGGCTTGCGATGTATAACTGTGGTTTACACTAGATAACGGCTTTAGACAGCAGTATTGGAGGTCAGGAAAAGAATAAGGAGCTCTTCGCGTCATTCTTCATGTGTATAACTTGGCCGACATTTACTTCTATTTCAGAAAACCCCTGACGCCGCAGGAAATCGTGAGTGTTTTGAAGGTTCCCATCGCCGGCTGCCTGCTGGTAAGTGGCGAGATTTAAATTTTAAAGTTCTCTCAATTTCTCAGCATCCCATTTTTTAAGTTATCGTTGAGTCCGACCGAATGAAGTCAAAGGAGTACAGTACGAAACCGACGTGAATTCGCGTAGCCTAGAGTTAGTGCGGCTATTATCCATAGTCCACCGGGTAGATCGGAACCCGTACCACATTAGGCCTAATATCAACTTCTCTCTTCCTGTTGATTGATTCGAGCTTTTTAGACGAAACCCTTCATTAAACTCACAAAACCGCAATGCGTTCCCGTGAAAATCTACCCTGAAGTTCCTGGAGGTCAACGTCTGGATGAAAACTGTGAAGGGAGATTTTAATTGATTTATATTTCACTCCACTTGTCTATTGAGCAGTTTATGTCAAGGTGTACACTTCCAGTTAACTGTACAGATTGTTGTAGCTTTATCCACGGTTTGCGACAGAAACTCCTGCTGTTCCTCTTCGCTTGGTATTTAAGAATATTTGAGCACATATAAAAATAAGCTGTATGATCAATTCTGTATACGTGTTCTCCTCGTCGATATAATTACAAAGGCAAAGCATGCTTTGCTAATACAAGCAAACA